TTGCCCTTTCTTGTCGAGCATAATACATCTCGGAACCATTGGTCAGTTCCTTAATAGAAATGTCTACCATTTTAAATAATGCACATCCCGCCCTCCAGTGGCCGAACTGCTTCTATGATGGCCTGGGCTCCTTTTCTACAGCAGCATAACATTTCTCTGATCCTGAAAAGTTCTCGAAAGAAAGCTACAGGTCTTCCTGCCTGAGATAAGACTGCAGCAGATGGCAATGTCAGATGCATCCATTTCCACTTCGAATGGTAGGGACTCATCAATGGCTTGAACTACTGAGTTTTCAAATGCCTGTTTTGAGAGTAATGGAAAGCCGGCTTCTGCTTCCCTTTGACACAGAAATGTGTAGCACTCATGGCGGCTTTACTTGAATAGTTTGTAGATCCATTGTAGTAATAAGTGCAAAGAGACCAGAGTTCTTCGAGTCACTTTTGTCTTGAGGCATTGGAAGTTCCCATAGAGGTCCCATAGTCGTTCAGGTCTAGGGAATATTAACCTCCTTCCACTACATAAACAAGGATGCTAAAGCCTTTTAGTTTAAAAAGTGCACTTTGTTTTTCCTCATTGTAAACTGATATTTTTCATCTTGACGGCTTCCAAAACTTATCAAGGTTACGTCCATGTTCCTCCTGGTCCTTGCCACAAATGGTACATTATCTATATACGTGTAAGTTCCCATGAGTTGCTATTTCCTAATGAGTGAATCCATAATTCGTTGGAAGCAGCTACCCCATTTGGGACCTCCAAAAGGGACTCTGGTAAACTGATCAGGCCATCTACTATCCTGAAATGCTGTGGTATAGGTTTATCTTCATTCCTTATAGGGACTTGAGATAGGCACTCTCTGTAAGATCAATTGTGCTAAACACATAGTACTGAGCAATATTGTTCACATGTACCATCAATTCGAGTGTAGAGGGTACCCATCAAGAAGTGTAAATTTTTGTTGGATTGTCTCAGAGTAATCAATAGCCATCTCCGTTTCCCTATAATTCATCTTTAACAACAACCTGTGCACGCCAAGGGGAGTTACTCGGTTCTATAATACCCTCCCTTCAGCAGCCTCTGAGTTTCCTTCTCATGAACATCCGATCCTCATAAGAATAGCGTCGTGACTTAGCTGATATATTGGATGCAATCTCGGTAAGGATTTTGCAAACAGCTTTGTGGGTCTACCCTTAAAGTGCTAAGTCCACAGACAACAAGAGAGGCATTCACCCCATATGCTAAGGTGACACTACTCATGTGCAGCTTCTGAAAGTCCTGACCCAAGGATAACATCAGACAACATTGTGGCAGAGAATAGCTAAATGTACACTTGATAATTCCTTTCCGTTCACTCTGATATTTACCTACAAAACCCCTAAGGTCTGAATAGAGAGAGATGTTGATGCCATGGAAACGGTACCTGATGAGTGAGTACAGTCAAGTAGTGGCGTTTAACTAATCAAGTTGAATGAAACTCTTCTTAGCTGCACTCCCAATAAAGACCATCTACTCTGTCCTTGATGAATACGTTACACTGCCTTTGACATTGAATTTGGAGTAGTCAACTGTTTGCTTAGAGTCGCATGATCACTGGAATGTGGTGGAGGCACTAGTCTCTTGTTGATGCATAGCACGACATACTTTAGCAAAGTTGAAACCTTTCTTGTGGCATTTAATTGCACATTGCTTCACGAGCAGGACCTTTGGACGTGATATGTCTTGAAAAACCACAAAATAAACACACCGTACCTGCTGCTTCTGTCACTGAGCAGGTCCACAGTAACTTCAAATTGCAAAGTCTTGTCGAGGAAATGCCACTTACCACTCGAGAAGGCTGAGTGGTACTGTATACTTCAGAATTCTTCTGTGCTGAATCAGAACTCTGCCTGGTCAAAGGCACGGATAAAGTCGAGAAGTTTTATTCTCCATAAACGCGCCTTAGTTATTGGTGATTGCAGGCCACTAATAAAAGCATCCCTGATGAAACTCTTCACAATACTGAGCAGCTGTCACTGCTGGAAGTGACAGTCCTTACTAAAATTTTCGTCTTGAAGGTATTCTTCTTCTAAAGGATGCATCAATCTGCTGGTGGCGATTTGTCAAGGTATAGCGTGCAAAGATTTCATTTGTAGTTTAATATACTGAGACTTGAGGGTTTTGATAGCATTTTCGTAGGTATACACTCAGAAATACCTCATATATCTTAGGTGACACAAAATTGATGAGCAGACTTAGTTTATCTAGATCTTCTTTAGGAAGGCTCCCAAGAATTTTCAAAAGTCTTAAACCATTGTTTAGGTAAGGACACATAATGCGTACAGTTAGTATCTTTATTTTGAAACGTTTCGCCTACACAGTAAGGGCTTTCTTCATCGAGTACTGAAAAGTTGAAAGAAGCAGAAGATACTTGAAGACGTGTAATCAATCCATCACCCTTAAAGTTTTGAGGTGGTCAGTAGTCCCTCAGTCGGAAAAGCATTGTTCCGTATGTCTGAAACAATATGAAGTTGAAGTGACCAGATCGGCCTTATATATTGCCAGGCGGTGAACGTAGGTGATGTTGGAGGGGGGGGGGGCAGTCCTTCTCAAACCCAGCCGGTTCTCACTAGTAGAGGTTGTCGAAGTAGAATGGTCTGTACCAAGATACCCTTGATGTTGCAGGTCTGACAGAATGAACATTAAAATGGTATAAAATACCGACAGATTGTTAGGTAAGACACATATGCAACAGTTAGGTATCTTTATTTGAAACGTTTCGCCTACACAGTAGGCTTCCCAAGAAGTTTTCGAAAGTCTTAAACCATTGCTTCCATTCCTGAGCAGCCGTTGAATAAGTTGGGGTCACAGTCTAGCCTCTCAGGTTTCAGTAAACGCTCCATGTTGTGATGTAGTCTAGCACAGGATCACTACCAGGTAGCCCAGGATTCTATGTTCAATAAATTGTTGTGATAGAAACACAGGCCTTATCTCTAGGCTTTATTGAACATAGAATCTTCATAGTACTTCTGCAACAACAAAATATAATGACTACTACATCTAATAACGGCGTCTACAGGGATGGTGATGTCTTGCATATGTCAAGAGAAAAGTTATAACTACAGGCCACATATTTAAACTCACCATGTAATCTGCATCACTAATATATGGATAGAAGAGAATAAAATCACACACCATGTGTTGGCGCCCATGACACACACTAAACTGTTGTTGTTGTTAAGGGCCCCGAGAGGTGGTGCAGTATTATTCTGCTGCTGCTCCCCACAGGAGCAGCATCACTACACACCCACTTGTCTAAGTAAGTAAGTAAGTAAGTAAGTAAGTAAGTAAGTTTATTCAGGTATACACAAATACAGTTACATAGAATTATCATACATAGCAGCATATGTGTAGAGAACCTAGGATAACCCAAAAAAGTCAGACAGAGTGACTTATTTCCATTGGGGTCCTATAATCACGGAAATACGAATCTTAACCATAAAATAGTGAATCCTAACTAGTCAAAGGTTTGCCTGTGATACTACAATATAGAACCTGTGCATTGTGCCAAAACAAAAGCATTTATATTGGTAAACTCACAAACTGTAATATAGTCACTTAGCCTTAATGCCAACTTATTCCATAATCTATATTAATTTAGAGTTAAGAACTAATCTAAGTCTGCCCGAAATGCCTAGCCATGCTAGGTGTCCTATTGGCCCCCTCTGTAATTAGTATTTTATAACATGTAAAGAAACACAATATCCAAAACCTGTAAACCTCGCATTATAATCTTTATAGAGAATAAACTTGATTGATTGACTGTGGTCCTTGACTTATTCCCATTGTGGTCCTTGACTTATTCCCATTGTGGTCCTTGACTTATTTCCATTGTGGTCCTTGACTTATTCTCATTGTGGTCCTTGAGTTATTCCCATTGTGGTCCTTGATTTATTCCCATTGTGGTCCTTGAGTTATTCCCATTGTGGTCCTTGTCTTATTTACATTGTGGTTCTTGACTTATTTCCACCGTGGTCCTTGACTTGTTTCCACTGTGGTCCTTGATTTATTTTCATTGTGGTCCTTGATTTATTTCCACTGTGGTCCTTGATTTATTCCCATTGTGGTCGTTGATTTATTTTCATTGTGGTCCTTGATTTATTTGCATTGTGGTCCTTGATTTATTTTAATTGTGGTCCTTGACTTATTTCCACTGCAGTCCTAGATTTATTGTCATTGTGGTCCTTGACTTATTTCCACTGTGGTCCTTGATTTATTTTCATTGTGTTCCTTGACTTATTTCCATTGTGGTCCTTGACTTATTTCCATTGTGGTCCTTGATTTATTTTAATTTTGTCCTTGATTTATTTTTATTGTGGTCCTTGACTTATTTTCATTGTGGTCTTTGACTTATTTCCATTGCAATCCTTAATTTATTTTCACTGTGGCCCTTAATTTGTTTTAATTGTGGTCCTTTACTTATTTCCATTGTGGTCCTTGATTTATTTTCATTGTGGTCCTTGATTTATTTTAATTGTGGTCCTTGATTTATTTTCATTGTGGTCCTTGATTTATTTTCATTGTGGTCTTTGACTTATTCCCATCGGGGTCCTTGAATCATTTCCACATGAATGGAAATAAGTCACTCTGACATTTTTGGGTTATCCTAGGTTCTCTACACACATACTGGTATGTTATCCTAGGTTCTCTACACATATACTGGTATGTATGATAATCAGGGTAACTGTATTTGTGTATACCTAAATAAACTTATTTAAAATACTCCCAAAATCCACTGTGAGATTCATTCTTGGAGGGAACAAGACAACCCAAAAAAGTGACTTGTTTACATTTTACTCCCTTATTTACCCCCATTATAGCCCTTGATTTATTTCCACAAAATCAATACACCATCTAGGTCACAATGGAATTCATTTTAGAGTGGATATCACGAAAAAAATAGCTAAATAAGGACAAAATTCTTGGTGAAAGGCGTGAACTGTGGTGGCCCTTCAAGCAACAACAACAACAACAAAACCATTGTCAGGCGGGACACCATCCTCCTGGTGGTTATTTTCCTGGCTTATTGCAGTTTTTGGTATCAGTTTTGGTGGGAGGAGATGGAGACGTCGCCCAAAAATGAATATGGAGAAGCCAGAGGTATTTTGTAGACATATTTGAGGTGTAATAGTGGAGATAATAGTGTGAGAAGTGACAGGTCTTGAACAATTGTTCTCTCATATAATGAAGGTGTTTAATCACTTTTGTCGTAGCTGATGCAGCGCTGTATGGCCCTTGTGGGTTAGCGCTTCTTTTTTATTATAATAATGTCGTAGCTGAGTGGCCCATACGGGTTTACCGCGGGTTTGTAGGTGATGATAATTATAATGATTGTTTACAGCAGGATAATGATGATTTATATAACAAAGACTAACACTGTTGTGTCACTGCTGACACTGTCAGCAGTTTAGTGACACGTCATAAACACCACTGCTGACACTGTCAAAAGTTTAGTGACACTCGTCATAAACACCACTGCTGACACTGTCAGCAGTTTAGTGACACTCGTCATAAACACCACTGCTGACACTGTCGGCAATTTAGTGACACTCATCATGAACATCGTGCTTCATGTGTCATGCTTCATGTGTCATGCTTCATGCTTCAGGCGTCATGCTTCAGGCGTCATGCTTCAGGCATCATGCTTCAGGCGTCATGCTTCAGGCATCATGTGTTATGCTTTAAGAAGTTTCATGTATACTCTAGCATGTCTAAAACATTGTTGAGACCTGTAAATACTCTGTATATATACAGGAAGGCCCCACTTTACGGCGTTTCACTTTACGGTGTTCCGCTAATACGGTCATTTCAAATTATGACCAAAACTCGCTATACGGCTCCCCCCACCTGACTTTCTAATACGGTCACCGCGCCCCACCCTGTTTGTTTACATTCTCCGTGAGCTCAGTAAGCACTAAGTCTCTCCATTTTGTCTGGAAACTCCAAAATTTCAAATGTTTTTAAAAGTTATTTCATATTTTATATATACTCTGATAATTATACTTATGTATACCTGTACTTAAATAAACTTACATACTGTGCTGGCATGCAGGTACACATTAAAATCAGTAAGAGTGTCTTATGTCTCCAGACGTCATATTAGTAATGATAATAATAATCATTGAGTCTCATTTAAATGTCGTATATTACGTTAAATACGCATTTTCATTAATCCATCTATGATATTTTTTTCAAAATTATATAATAAACACGATACATAACATAAAAAGATGATAAATACACCCTACAATAGAATAAATAAACATAAGTATGAGATGTGGTAGCCAGATAACTTGTACAAGTGATGCCAAGAATAACATTTTCTCTAATCTAACATAAGAGAAAATGTGTTACTGGGGGTAACTGTAGAAAATTATTCCTTTCGTATGTATGTAAGTAAGTTTATTCAGGTATACACAAATACAGTTACATAGATTAATCATACATAACAACATATGTGTAGAGAACCTAGGATAACCCAAAAAAGTCAGAGTGACTTATTTCCATTGCCTTCACTCAGAGCATCATTTCTTCTCAAAATGAAGTTACATGAGAATGGGAGTGTTCTTCTTTATTTATTCTACCGTATCAATGTAGAGACAACCTGTACACAATGTAACTTGTACACAAACTAGACGTGTACACTTCGTTTACAAAACTTACCTTCGCCTGGTTTGTTTACATAACTCTGCGCCTGTCCTCTCTCATGCACTCATTCTTTCTCTCTCTCATTTATTCGTTTTATCTCATTTACTTACTCCTGACCCTACATTAAGACTACAAATATTTTAAGGTAAGTAATGAGTGACTGTAATATACTTTTTAAATCGCTCTGGGATGCTTAAATGTAATAGAATATTATGTGTAGGTGGTTGGCCTGGTATGGTAGCCCGGCTGATTACCATACATACCACACTTGATTTTTTTTCAATAAATACTACTCATCTCACCCTATATTTTAAGGTAAGTAATGAGTGAACTGTATATACATTTTATCGCTCTGGGATGCTTAAATATCATAGAATTGTATGTGTGGGTGGGGTGGCCTGGTATGGTAGCCTGGCTGACTACCATACATACCACACTTGATTTCTTACAATAAATACTACTTGTCTCACCCTAGATTAAGACTATAAATATTTTAAGGTAAGTAATGAGTGCACTATGTGTGTATTGTACTTTTTTATTGTTTTTTGATGCCTGGTTCTATTGCTAACTTAATATATGTTAATGTAAACTTGTTATCTAGTGTTTGTATGCATTTGTAAGTGGAAAAAAAGGGTGTTCCACTTTACGGCGGTAGCCTGGAACCTAACCAGCCGTATAAGTGGGGCCTTCCTGTATATCAAGACAACAGTAAATGACCAAGGCAGTTGTAAATGTTCACCTGCCGGTGTGTTTGTGACAATTTGAGTACTATTTCAGTACCTAATATTAGTGTCAGAACAAAGATTGGCTATGAAATCACAAGAACTATTATAAATTGTAATTATCAGAGCATAAAAAATATATAAATTAAAATAAAAACGAGAAAAAAAAGGTATATTGGCAACGCTTCTGCAAGCGGCAGGACTCAATGTTGCCGTCATATGAGCATCCAGTGCTTATATCTCGGTAAGTAATCGCCCTAAAAAAATTTTTTTTTTTTTTGGTCTTATACAGAAAATTGCTCTCTTTAATTAAGAAAAAAGATTATTTTTTCAAAATATTTGGAGCACTGTGCAAGTGAACGTAGATCTAAATTTGGACAGTTTGAGGGTTAAAAGAGGATCAAATAGTAGTATATACAGGTTGGCCATCACTAATCCAGCAGTCAGTAATCTGGTTCCATCAGTAATCTGGCACTAATTTTGGCTAGCATAATTTCAAATTTTTGGGGATGCCACACCATCCTGCTGGTACTGTTTGGTGGTGCTACTTGCTGCATAAGTCATTCCAATTTATTTTTCTCCATTTATTGTTATTTAAGCTGTTCA